CAACTCATTTGACCTTAACCGACGCTCACACCTCAACCTTGACCCCAATGCACCTGCGCAAGGCCAAGTTGATGTTCTTCTATACCAGATACCCCAGCTCGTCCATCTTGAAGATGTACTTCCCTGACGTGCTGTTCAACAAGAACAACACCGCCCAGCTGGTCAAGTGGTTCTCTAACTTCAGGTGAGTCTATTGTTGTATGCGCGTATGTCTTTCAACATTTTTATTCCAGTCTGTTGTTGTATGCGCGTATGTTGATAGAGACTTATTCCAGTCTGTTGTTCTATGCGCGTATGTTGAAAGAGACTTATTCCAGTCTGTTGTTGTGTGCGCGTATGTTGAAAGAAACTTATTCCAGTCTGTTGTTGTATGCGCGTATGTTGAAAGAGACTTATTCCAGTCTGTTGTTGTATGCGCGTATGTTGAAAGAAACTTATTCCAGTCTGTTGTTGTATGCGCGTATGTTGAAAGAGACTTATTCCAGTCTGTTGTTGTATGCGCGTATGTTGAAAGAGACTTATTCCAGTCTGTTGTTGTATGCGCGTATGTTGAAAGAGACTTATTCCAGTCTGTTGTTGTATGCGCGTATGTTGAAAGAGACTTATTCCAGTCTATTGTTGTATGTGCGCATGTTGAAAGAGACTTATTCCAGTCTATTGTTGTATGCGCGTATGTTGAAAGAGACTTATTCCAGTCTATTGTTGTAAGCGCGTATGTTGAAAGAGACTTATTCCAGTCTATTGTTGTATGCGCGCATGTTGAAAGAGACTTATTCCAGTCTATTGTTGTATGCGCGCATGTTGAAAGAGGCTTATTTCAGTCTATTGTTGTATGCGCATATGTTGAAAGAGACTTATTCCAGTCTATTGTTGTATGCGTGTATGTTGAAGGAGACTTATTCCAGTCTATTGTTGTCTCCGCGTATGTTGAAAGAGACTTATTCCAGTCTATTTTTGTATGCGCGTATGTTGAAAGAGACTTATTCCAGTCTATTGTTGTATGCGCGTATGTTGAAAGAGACTTATTCCAGTCTATTGTTGTATGCGCGTATGTTGAAAGATTCTTATTCCAGTCTATTGTTGTATGCGCGTATGTTGAAAGAGACTTATTCCAGTCTATTGTTGTGTGTGCGCATGTTGAAAGAGACTTATTCCAGTCTATTGTTGTATGCGCGTATTTTGAAAGAGACTTATTCGATTGAAAACCACTGAGGTCGGTTTGGTTCTTGGTACAATTTTTGGGTTTCTTTGTATAATTTGTAAGTGTCATAATCTCACCCTGTTATCTTTAACCGCTGGTAGTGGATATATCCCTTGCCTTCTCAAATAACCGCGAAAGAAGTTCATGGTCCCATATGTAGGTATCATATATATCCAAACTTTTTAACGGCTAGACAAGGTACGGAGAAAAACCATAACAATAAAATTGTGCCAATACAGAAACACATCGCAACTGAAAACAATTCATTTACACGCGAAGCCATTGATAAATTAGTCGAAGGGTAGATATGTCATTTATGCTTTAAATGGACTTAACTTATTACATTTCCATTTTGAAAGAATCAAGGAACCAGTTAGCGTTTTTTTTAAATGGTACTCACTGAACAATGTCGTTTCCTGATTCCATATTGGTCGAAAGTGGAACACATCAGTAATGAAACATTCTGGTAGATATACCCCTTGATCTTAATTTTAATACAACAAGCAATGACAAAGAATCACCTTAACAGTGTCAAATCTGAGATGTCACACTATGACATTTCTCCTATCCCAAGATATACTATCCATAAAAATGAATCCCATCGCATTTCAGCAAAAGCTAACACTGTTCTTTCCATCCAGCCTTTGATTCATCTGCCATTATTGGACATTCATCAAGTTGTCCCTTGTTGTCCGGACAATCGCATGTTCCCACCAGGCCTGACAATCTTAATCACAAAAGCGTAATATTTGCTGTGGAATCCTTTATCACGCCAAAACTGTCCTCGGGTTTTCTCTCTCTGCCCACGGCTTCGGATTGTTCCAATCGACAAGGGACCACTGGGCTTTGCCGGCACCTCCGCTTCTATTCTTTTGTTATTTCGAGTCCTTGACCGAGCTTCTGCGTGCATTTTCATGAGGATTAATGTGCATTAAATTTTCATAGTTTCATATCTTTAATGCATTTGGGGCGTCAGTGTTATTAGCCGTCCTCTGGTTTTTCGGCGTTCCCTTGGTACCAGGAATTGTGGTGGTATTAGCTATCCACCCATCCCTAGCTCAAGACTTGTAGAAGATGACTACGGGGATCCACTTGTCATTGTGGCATCCGCGGCCGCCTATTCAGGCAAGCTGGTGTTTCCCTCGAGGCCTTTGTTGGCGCTGATTATAGGCCCTCTTTGACAGAGAGACCATCACAATGAGCGGAATTGCTTCAGAAGAGGTTGCAGTGGGATCTCATTGAACGCATCATATATGAAGTTGCAGGGATATAAGAATGATCTTTGGCATATCAGCTCACCGAGCGTATGGAGCCGGAGTTAATTGTATGTTTTTCATCTACGTGTGTCCCTGTAATTGTCTGAAGGTATAGACGGGCCGCTAATTTCCAAAAAGCGCCTGCAGGAACTCCTTTGGGGCAGCTCGGATTTTCTTTTGCGTTTGCTTTTGGTGACGTCACGTTGAAGCGCGAACACTGCAAGAATGTCATTATCGGGGACTTTTTAATCCCATATCCAAATCTGTAGGGACCAGTTGTAAAGTGAGCGCTAGCGATGACATTCCAAGATTGAACGTGACTGAGCATGAAGAATTCAAAAGTTAGCATGTCTGTAGGGGGCTATAATATGAAATGGATGAGCAGCGCAGAAGGAGGGAAGAATAAGAAACTGCATGGAGAAAATCATATGTTGGTGACAGAGCAGGCAAATCAATAATGGAAGAATAAAAGAATATGAAGAGGCGGGAAGAAATTCAGTTATCATTTCATCTTCATTATTATTTCAGGAGTTGTGTTCAGGTCTTGAGATAACATTTGCGCGAGAAATGATTGAGGGAGATGAAAAGGAGAGAGTTTTAAAGTGCTAGTGTCTACAAGGGAGAAGAAAACGTTTGTGGGAGGGAAAGGTAATTGCTTTCAAAGAGATTAGCTTTGGAAAGGGGGTGGGGCAGAAAGATGAGTGGAGAGAGACAGAGAGAGAGAGAGAGAGAGATAGAGAGAGAGAGAGGGTAACTGTAATTTCCCGGAAACAGATTTCGGTGACTGGTATGTGGAGAAGAACACAGATGTGAGGAGAGAGGAAGAAAGAGAGAGAGAGGGGGACGGGGGAAGGAGAGGAGAAATGAAGACATAAAACGGAGACACAGAAGATTGAACGCTAGACAAATAGGCAAAGTTAAGAGATGGGTAAGAGAGAGACAGATAAATAAATAATTATAGATTTTGACGAGATTTCAAGATGAGTGACATAAAGTATGCTAGTTAGTAGGGATTTGAAAGCAGAACTGAAGTAGAAGAAGAAGAAGAAGAAGAAAGAAGTGAAGAAGAAGGAGAAGAAGAGAAGAAGAAGAAAAGAAGAGAGAAAAGAAGAAGAAGAAGAAGGAGAAAAAGAAGAAGAGAAGAAATGAAAGACAAGAAGAAGAAGAAGAAGAAGACACGAAGAAGAAGAACGAAGAAGAAAGAAGAAGGCAACGTAAGAGATGGAAAAGAAAAAGAAAAAGAGAAGAAGAAGAACAGAAGAAGAAGAACATAATTATAGAAGAAGACAGAAGAAGAGAGACGAAGAGAAGAAGAAATGAGTGAAATACAGTAGAGCTAGTTAGAAAGGATTTGAAGCAGCAGCGGAAAGAAGAAGAAGAAGAAGAAGAAGAAGAAAGAAGAAGAAGAAGAAGAAGAAGAAAAAGAAGAAGAGAGAAGAAGAGAGAAGAAAGAAGAAGAAGAAGAAGAAGAAGAAGAAGAAGAAAGAAGAAGAAGAAGAAGAAGAAGAAGAAAAAAGAAAAAGAGAGAAGAAGAAGAAGAGAAGAAGAAGGAGAAGAAAAAGAAGAAGAAGAAGAAGAAGAAGAAGAAGAAGAAGAAGAAGAAGAAGAAGAAGAAGAAGAAGAAGAAGAAGAAGAAGAAGAAGAAGAAGAAGAGGAAGAAAAATAAGACAACCATTCAAAGACAAAATATAACATTTGTAATACCATTCTGTGAACCGCTGATATCAAAGCTAACGGTAAATATCAGTGACAAGCGATATATATCGTGTCACAAGGCACCAGGTTGAAAGCAAATTAGATTCTACGACTGAAAAGCCAAGTACAGAACAAGATGGAGTTCCCCCCCCCCCCCTCTCTAGACTAGATACGGTTTCGCTAGATCTGCTACGTGGTAGCGAGTACATCAGGCTGGCTATGCCCGGAGACTGTGCACGATCAATGATTTCTGACATAAAGAGATTACGTTTGAGATGGATGGATGGAGGCTGCCGGCTGTGCTACCAGAGCTAAGAGTTAACCTAGTCTGATGGTCCGTACTGCTGGAGTCAGGGAATTTACTGTTCGAATTATAGTTTCCTAACATGGCTGGGGAGCCGGACTTAAAAAAAAATGACTTTGACTCCCAGATCGACCCAGCCTTGAGTTGCAGACCTGGGAGGAAATGACGGCTGTTGTGGTGCTGAACACATCCCCCATCTTGTGCCTATTCGTCTATAAAAAAATATAGGCCTAGCCCTATATGCCATATACGCCCAAAGGCGTGGACAAGGGACCTTTGCTTTAGTTTACTTTTTTTTTTAATTTTTAACATGGTCGGAAAGTCGGTATTTTAAAGTTAAAGGACCCCTTTTCGCGCCTTTTAGGCGTATTGGGCATATAGGGCTAGACCTATATTTCATGTACAAATCGGCACTCGATGAGTTATATGGTAAACATCATGCCGACCACATTTACTACCCAGGACTATTTGGTACCCATCTAAGCGTGGGTCGACATGGGAGCCAAGATCATATTTTAAAAAGTCGGATACGGTCAAGACCTGAACCCACGATCTTCGGATCCCAGGCGAGCGTCTAGCCGCTGCCCCACGGCGGCCCCCAGTTGGTTTTGGTGGAGTCGGTCAATTTACTGCTCAGTTCATTGTCTGCTAACATGATCAGGTACTATGTATGTAGGAGTTACTGAATCTACTACTGTACTCATCGTCTGGTATACCTGGTCGGACAT